TGCAAGGTCAGCAAGGTCAGGTCAAGAGCTGGTCTTTCACTTTTGTTCACAGTTTGAAAAAGTAACTGACTTTCACTTAAAGTACAGCATAAAAAAGTACACACTAATGTAAAAGTAAAATGCTTTTCTGTAATTAACAGACAGTACTTTTATTTGAGAGCTTTTAAGAACTTAAAAATCATGATATTGTTGTAGAAATTGATTCATGATGGCAGAAAATACAATAAACAAAGTAGAAAGTAGACCTGTGTTTATGTCATGTCTTCATTTGCAAAGTAGTAATTTTAAAAAGCAATGAGTAGAAAGTACACATATGTGGGTTTATATATAAAGAGTCAATGTTTTCTTAAAAATAAGTAGTAAAGAAAAGTATTGATACCAGGAAGAATTACGTCAGTAAAAATTCACAAGGTTAAAACTATTATTGTTCCTAAATATTGAATATTGTTCAACAATTTCTATAATTCAGCTGTTCGATGTTTTCTTTGGTGTTTTTTTTACTGCTTTGAGCCGATTGTCAACATTTTAACAAATGAAGGTACATTGGTACATCTCACTGTGCGTCAAATACTGAATTATTTTCACATTGCTGGCAACGCCTTGACAACAAAATTGACGAGCCAAGTTGCACGCTGTGAGCTGTGAGCTTCCGTAGCCACAGCTGCCCAGAGGCATACTATTCGTTAAGATGAAGCTTTGCCACCGCGCTGGTCTGGGGGGGTTCAAACCGCCAACTTTCGGATAGCAACCGGAGCGCATAACCCCTCGGACTCCTGTTTGACAAGCACCAAGCCAACGCCAAACTGTAACCACACAAAAAATCCTTTATCATGCCAATGTTTCTGTTTCGTTTTTTATCCTTTTCTTTCCTTCCCCCCCGGAGCAGACGCACCTGTGCACACTCCTCACCGCAGATGACCTGCTTCCTGAGTCCAGAATGCACATAAATATAACGAGAAGAGAGAGTGCCAGACTTCTGAGGCCTGGGAGATCACAGTCATTCACGAGCGTAGGAATGAGCACAGCCTGAAAAGAGGTGAGAAGGCCTTTTTTCGTTGCTGTGTCATTTGGACCGAACCTCCTCTCTCTCTTACACACACACACACACACACACATATACACACGCCCCCACACACACATATACACCCTGAATCAAAGTAATCCCCCCCTCCTCTTCCCGTCTGCTGGCTTTACGAAGATGGTAATGTTCACCTTAAAACATCTTTACTGTACTGTGGCCTCAGCCCCTTTTGCGCCGCCAAGTTCCTATCAAGCGGCCTGATTTATGGAGCCTGATGCATTCCTTGGCCCTGGCGCGGAAGGCAGTTTAGCTGAAATATGAGACTCGATGCAGGGAACACGCTTAAGAGAGAGTTTCGCCTCAGACTTTCCCTGCAAAAAGCCCACAGCGCACTAGCACAAAGCAGGCGAGCTGTTGTTGTGCTCAAAAAACGTGCAATAAATCAGCATTAAGTTGCGTTTGTTTGACAGAAATAAGCCCGGATCAGATACGGACTGAATCAGGATTAGGCGAGAACAAAGACAGGACTAAACAATGATAATCTGGATGCCGATTTGTACTTAAAGCCGAGGTGCTTGACTTTTAAACCACAATAAATGGGACTATGAGTAATAAAATCCGGCTAACTATGTGGTTCCGCGCTGTCAATGCAGCTTTGATAGTTTTCACATGCATGTATTTTTAGGCTAGTTCGTATTCGCCGACTTAAAGGTGAGGTACGTACATTTCGAATCACAAGAAATTGCTTAAATGCAATAGAATCCTTATAACTTGTTCCTCGCTCTGAAAACAGTTTGGTTCTATCACGAGTTTTTCAGCCACAGTCACGTCTTAAGATCTGCTTTTTCAGACAGAAAAATGAAAAGAGAGAGGACCACACTCACTCAGCCAATCAGCTCTCAGCCCGAAAGTGTCAAACAGTGACTCGCAGGGCTCTTTCTTACAAACATGCAAAAGATAACAATGATAATTTTCTTTAAGTCTGAATTGTTCACAACATTTAACTTTTACAACACTTTTTTTCCTGTTGAGTAAAGAGGTACCCCAGATTTAACCAAGACTACAAGTTTTGTCGGTAAATTTTGCATAAAAAAACACAATTGCACCTTAATCCAGACTAGATCAAGGTTAACACCAGAAATCCCAGAGCAGTCAATTTGACAGCTTTGGGATGACAACATTTTCTGCTTCTATTTGTAGTTTATTTCTTTGCTATTATTATTTTATTTTTGAAATGTGAGGAGTTCTACCTCCAACTCTCAGAGCAGTCATTTGGATTTCTCCAAAATTCAAAAGTAATGATTTTATTTCGATTAGTAACAAACATTCTGTAGCACTTGAAGCACTTTTTCAAGGAGCTGTGTCTGGTTTTCTCTTTTTTTCACCAGAGAAAAGCAAAGTTAGCATTTGGTCTTTAGCATCATGCTTTCAACAAACTGTTTTAATGTATTTTAGGTTGCATTCACTAGTTTTAACATGTATTAAAAGTCAGTTAAGGTAAGAAGCCTGATGAATTGCTTACTTCAATAAATCTGGTGAAAAATTAGAAAAATCGAAAAACATTAAGGGTTACATTTCTCACAATTACAATGGATTTTAATGAGAACGGTCACAATGACATCTCTGGGAGTTATAGCAGTTATAGTAGTTTGGGAATCCTAGTGTTGAATTAATGAAAGCTATACTTGAGGGGGAGAAATCTAGACCTATAAACCAGGACCGTAGCAGATCCAGGACAGGATTTGCGTAGCAGTGAGTCGGCTGTCATGTCTCTCCCACAATAGGTGCTTTTGTTGTGGCTGCACATGGTAACAGGCTCAGAAATGCTCTCGCTCTCTCTTCCATGGAAATTGCACACAGGTGTATACAGGAAGCCCGGACGACACCGCTATAGTTTGTAAATGCTTTGTTGCTTGTGTGCTAAGTACTTGTGATCAATCATAAATTTCAGTCTGGTCTTAGTTATACCACAGCAGGATTTTTTTGTTTTTTTCTCTCTCTCCAAGGACAGAGCCAGGTCTAAAACACGACAAAACCAAGGCAAAGAGCAAGACACAGCAAGACTCAAAAGTAGCTTAAACATTGAGTAAACTATTTCCAAGTCAAAGTTATCCAGCTTGGCATCAGATTTTCATTCTTTTTGGCACAGCTCCTGCGTTTGCCTCATCTCCCTGAGCTCGAACGCACTTTTTTTTCTGACCGAGCTGCTCATTTCCACGTTGTCTTTTCATAAATCACAAAGTTGTAGAAACTGACATACGTTCAAATGGAAATCTTCGTACGCAGGCGTTGATAAGAATGACCCTCATCCTGACCTTTTCATATTGTGTTCCTGCAACAATGTAGTGATATTACAGCAGAGGCAAACAAGTAAACTCTCCAACATTGAGTAATCTAAAGTTGGGGGACCTAACTTTTTCCCGTAGATAATACATGTTCATTCAGTGATCAGACCTCAACATTCTGTCTTCATCTTAATAGAACACTTTTTTATCCTGTGTGGCTCGGCGAAAGTCAGGTCCCCCACCTTTAAAAGTAGATTCCCATCTGCGCTTGTGCTCCACAGCTAGAAGGTCCTGGGTTCGAAACCACCTTTAAGGTCTTTTTGTGTGGAGTTTGCATGTTCTTCCTGTGTCTGTTTAGGTTTCCTCCAGGTGCTCCTGTTGCCCCTACAACTAAAAAAACAATACATCGGGCAGTGCTTTGTGACCGTGAAAAGCTTTATATTTTTATTTAGCCAGGAACATCCCATTGAGAATAAGAACCTCTTTTTCAAGGGAGTCCTGGTAATCTGGATATAAATCAAGATTATTGTAACAGCCTGACTATAAGGCGCTACTTTTTACTCTTTTTCTTTGACCCCTGTGGCTTATATCCTGATGTATTTTAATGGTGATGATTTGTGCATTGTGTGGTGTGGACTGTGAGGCGCTTTGTGTTGCCCTGTGCAGGAAAAGCGCCCTATAAATAAAGATTGATTGATTGATTGATTGATTGATGTGGCTTATACGTGTATGTTTTCCATGGTAGAGTTGGAATGTTGTCAGAGGAGATTTTTGTTTTGACTCAAGCTTTAGAAGACATAGGACACTCGTTTACTGTCAAAACAACAGACTGGTACGCTAAACGTAAAGCTGTTGTGACCAGGTAAAACAGTCGACTCTCTGCGACACCTGCGGCTTATAATCAGGTGCGGCTTTTATGTGAAAAAAATATATTTCTGCAAAAAATTATAATAATACATGCTTAAATCGAGGGATTATTATCTTAGTTTGAGTACATTCTGACTGTCTCAAAACAAGATTTACCAATTGGACACCAGCCATTAAGTTTACTAACCGGGTCGTCAAGAAAGCTCGTCAGCATCTCTACTTTCTGCGAAAACGTAGAAAATGGGACTGGGGACATTTGCATAAGAATTCCAATGTGATTTTACTGCAAATGGCAAATAAATGAATCTCAATCTGAATCTGAATCTGAAGTCTTATGTCAAGAACTGCTTTATTTTTTCTCATACCCAAGGAGACATTTCTTGTATCTTTTTATAACAAGATTATTTTTCTTGTTCCATTGGGAAAACTTGTTTTAAGGCAGTCAAAATGTGCTCAAATCTAGATATATTTGGCCAAATTTGAGATATTTTTGACTTATTTTTCATCACTTTTTGCAGGTGTTGCGGCTTATATACAGGTGTGCTTAATAGTCCAGAAAGTACAGAACTTACTTACCATCTAAACACAACAACAAGCCCAATTTTAAATCAATACTTGCCAAACGCTGCATTTCCGTCAAATAAAAACGATTCATAACCTTCCCTTGGTCCATATTGAGAAACATAGCCTTGACGTTCACTGACAGATAACCAGCAATAAGCAGAAACAGACCAAAATATTGTGCGTTTCTGTGTCTGCGCGCCGACGTACAACAGCGATTACATGCTTTATTAAGTGCTGAGGCTCTCTGTGCTGAGTGAAAGCAGATGGCACCACCGCACCGGCCGGTCGCTGGAGCCTGTGTCCCGGTGCTTGTGGTCAGTGTCTCAGCGTCTCCGAGAGCTCTGCGGTTTGCCGTCAGTTCAGTGCAACAAAATCACAAGCACGGACTCACATCGGCAACACACGCAGCACTGCACAGCCGTGAGAAAAATGCCATGGTGTTTGTGGAGGACGACGAGGGAAGAGGAAGAAGTCTGCAGAATCTGAAGTGTTTGTGAGAAAGGATGATGGTGGTTTTCATTTCACAGTCATTAGTAAGTATTAGTAAGTATATTTCCGGACTATAAGCCATGACTGATTATTAACCACAACCATCCCACGTTGTAATATTGAAAAAAAAAAGGTTTCTATTGCTGTAAGAAGTGAGTCACCGGCTGCTCTTCTGGTGAAATCAGAAAGACAAGGAGCAACAACTACCGGCATGCTTTTCACCTTCATGTTAAAACAGAGTTACCAAAAAAACAATGTATATGCTTTTCTTGTAATATTTTCCATGTTGGGTGACAACAATGACTGAGTGACATACTATACCAAGTCCTGGAGGTGGAATCAAACCCAGGACCTTCTTGCTGTGAAGCACAAGTGCTATCCACTGCACCACCGTGCCACTGTTCTTCCCCATTCTTCCCAAACAAAGTAAACTTTAGTTTTGTGTTACGCTTCACTGTGCACAGGAGCACCCCGGATCTTTAAATCATTAAAAAGGTATTGAATTCAACCTGTGCAAATTTTTATAGAAATAATATTTCTGAACAAATAACCTTGCAGTATCATTTAAAAGTCAGTATTGGAGGATAATAGTTCATTGTATGCAATCAGGAGGCAGAGGGGGCGGGGCTAACTGGTGTTTGTGTTCTAGAAAAAGGTCACTGACCTTCACTTTAACAAAAAGGGCATACATTTATATGGATATAAATATGTATATACAGAAGGGTCTGCGGACAGTGGTGATCTGGGATATTTAGGGACATTTCTGGTCAGTGGTCGTCCCGCTCCCTGTGGATCTGTGTTTGTTACTATTGGATTTCCTGTGTTCAAACACAGGAAACCTGTTTTCAAAACTTCGTAAAGTTCCCTGAGACAACTTCTGTTGTGATATAGGGCTCAGTGACTCAGTTGTCCCAGATGGCTTTAAAATTGTCAATTCACCTTCAACAGTTCAGAGAATCAGACACACAGGTCATCTAATAATAGGTTTATAAATGTTCTGGATCCTCAATGATAAAGATTGTGCCACATCCCTCTGAAGGAGATTGTGGGAGATGTTTTATGAATAAATGAATAAATGTTCCTTCTGATTATCAGTGGGCCAAACTATTTCTCTAACCTTTGTGTGGGAAAAACCCAACGCACACATTTGAACTCACACCTACATCTAGAGGCTCTAGACAGTGAGCAGTCATGTTTGGAGAGAAAGACATTTTTCACATTGCTTTTTATACCTGCATCCAAATAATATGGCGTCAAAATAGGGTCTGCTTGTAACCGCAAATCAGGAATTTTAAACGTAGGTCGTAAGTATTGTAAACATGAAAATATATCGTAAATGTAAAACTTACATTTACTTTTCTAATTTTTCATGTTTCGCTTCTTAAGTTCCGTTTACAATTCACAAGCTACGTTTACGAGTCAAAAGTTACGGTTACGATACATTTTTCACCTGACCCTATTTTTAAGGGGCGGGCTCAGCGCGCCCATTGGCTGGAGGGACCGGATGTTTCGTCATCACAAAAACAAAACGCACGCCATTCAAAACTCAAGACATTCAAGTGTTGTTCGAACTTTACAATACATTTGTATGTTTACAATACTTACAACCAACGTTTACAATTCCTGATTTACGGTTACGTTCAAGCAGACCCTATTTTAAGAGCATTAACACAGTTTTTGTAAATATCACTTGACACAATCTGGGGCGGCACTTACTGGCCAGTAAAAAGAAAATCAAGACTTTTCTGACCATACCAAAACAAAAACATGACTTTCTCATGTTTTGTTCAGCCTAATGAAGGATGAAGCCAAACAATCTTGTGACCAGAAAATATGTAATATGAATATAGATGACTTACTAACTACTCACTAGTCCTTAAATTGAATCAAGAAGGTAGGGAATTATTCTATAAAAGCTTGGGAAGTTGACTTTATTTGTTCATAAATTAAACATGTGTTTGTCCCAACAGAAAGAGTCTTGTAAAAGTGAAATTCTGTGAACAATCAGAGCACAACATCCTGTTTGAATCTCACAAGAAAACATGATCTTTTGTGTAAGAATGAGCCCTGTGAGCCACTATTTGACTCTTTGGGCTTAGATCTGATTGGTTGAATGAGGCTGGTCCTCTCTTTTTCACTTTTCTGTCTGAAAAAGCTGATCTAAAGATGTGACAGAGACCAAAATACCAAATTACATGCGTCTGAAAATGGTGATAGGACCATTTTTTGAGAGCGAGGAAACGAGTTAGATTCATTCAATCATAGCTAAAAAACATGTGAACTTTAAATGTTAAAATGTGAAACCAGAAATGTCTTCAAACCAGTGAAATATTCCAGGTCACAAAAGAAATATATTAACTCAGTCTAGTCCGATGAAAGGTTATGTATGAATAAAGATCACTTACTTACTAATTACTAGTTGTCGATATTAGGTTAGAGTTTATTATTCTGTTAAAGCTGGGGAACTTAAATTTTTTTTTTTCATAAATTAGACCAACCCAGAAATGGATTAAAGGGTAGAAAATGGATGAATAGGTATACTGTATACTGTGAGATATTCATTTCTTAAGCGCGGCTCTCACATTATGCACATAGTTGACAAAACATACAGTTTACGCACCATGGGGGTTATACATTACCTGTAAATGGTTTTAAATTAGGTTTTGCAGTTTGGGAGTGAAGGGAGCACTTTCTTCAATAGGGTCTTGATTCCCACTGTCCCTGAAGTAGCCTCGTCACAGAATTGATTTCACGCGGCTGGTCCCTGGTGGACTTGGCCTGTGTTTTGCTCACTTTGCTGCTTCGTTGCTCTGTTTGGCTTCTAATAACATGTGTATTAGGTTAATTCTCAGCCAGTGCCCTTGACCGGCACGGGTGCAGGTTTGGGTCCCCAGCTGACTCCTGGGGGCGGCCCCTGCTCTGGGATACTGGGATGGGTTAAACGCAGATCCTCCGCTGGGAAAATAAAAGCAATTTTCTCTGATTACCCTCTAGGCCTGGCTACATTAGCTTTATTCAGAAAGTTTCACATCCTCCTCATAAGACCTGTCCTATCCAAACACAGCTGCTGCTAGAGCTGGTGATATTGATATTACTCAGTTTGTAGTCGTAACTTCTTAATGTTTAGTTTATGTTCAAAAGAATCAAGACAATATTCACCTCCAACGATGCCACGGAAGAGCCCAGAGGATTGTCCAGGACCACAGGCATCCGGGCTAATGTCACCCAAAGTCAAAACTGAGAGGGTTAGAGTAATAATAATACTAATAATGCATCGGTTTTATATAGAGCTTTTTTGGACACTCAAAGACGCTTTACATGTCATTATTCATTCACTCTATACACGGTGGTGATAAAATACTACTGTAGCCACAGCTGCCCTGGGGCACACTGACAGAAGCGAGGCAACCGGCCTCCGACCACCACCAACCGTTTACACACACACCCCAGACTCATTCTAGGCAATGGGGGTGAAGTGTCTTGCCTAGGGATACAACGGCAGTTTGGAACTTTACAGTCGCAGCCGCCCCACTGTGGCTGGTGTTCCCAGAAGTTAAGTGTCTTGCCAGGGACACAACGACAGCAGACATCAGTGGGAGTCGGTGGTGGGCTCGAACCCATGACCTTCTGGCTCAAAGCCCAATGCTCTACCAACTACTAAGCTACTGTCGCCTTAGAAGGAGCTTTTTATCTGTTTCAGGACTCTCAGAATCCTGACACAACTAGAACTCAGAGCTGTCATTTTGACTACTCCCAATCAAACCAATGGCATTCTGAGAAATTCACCAGATTTATACGCCATTTTTTTAAATTTTGAACTCATATCTAAATGAAATACTGCAAAAAACATGAATGCTAAGTGCTGCCAGTAACAGTGTGTTGCTATGGTCGCATTATTTGGTGAAACATTTTTTAAAGATAGAACCACACAAGCTGAGTCAAATTGACTGCTCTGGGAGTTATTACCAAGAAATTTGAAAGAAAGTGACGCAGGACAAAGTTCTGACGCAGATCTAAGGCACCTGTTAGGACCTGTCTTAGATCTGCATCAACACCCTTGAGTGTGTAAAAAAGTTACCACTGATTTGATAAGTAAGTCAGAGGCAACACTTGCAGTGCTATACAACAACTGTGTGGTGTTAATATAACAATATGACACTCTTTATTTAACACTGTCCCTAACATTTTAACACTTTCTGTGTAAGCATTTCATTTTTGGGGCAACTTCTCAGAATTCCATTGGTTTGAATGAGAGCAGTCAAAATGACGGCTCAGTTCGAGTAGTTTCAGCATTGCATTGTTAAAGCGTTATCTAAACCTCACATCTACATCGTGTCCTGGTGGCATTAGCTGCTGGTGCCTGGGTAAAATCCTTTCATCACAGTTTCTGAACATTATATGCAACAAAGTTACCTTTTTAGCAGTCACTTTCTTGTTTGAGCTAATGCTCTGAATCACCGTGTTTGTACTTTCTGACAACAAAGAGTATGTGCAACTCAAAACCACATTAAAATAATATGATTTTTGTTAACCTTTGAATAATTAAAAACTACCACAGTTTTTTTTCTTTCATCTCACAAATCTCTTGCCATATGTGCCTCTTTGTGTTTTGCAGCCACAAGGACAGTCGGTGCGATGTTTACAATTTACCCGCAGTACGTACATTAATTAATCATTGCACATCTGTAAGAGTGTGTGCCCGTTTCACTGCCTGTTGTTTGCGTTACAATGGTGCTGTGGCACTTTGGCACCTGTGCACATTATCTACCTAAAGGCCTGGATAATAAGCTGCAGGTGCAACTGCTGGCAAACCGGGAGGCGACTGAGGGGGCTCCAGCGTGTGTGTGTGTGAGTGTGTGAGTGTGTGTGTGTGTGTGTGTGTGTGTGTGTGTGTCATAATGAAGTCAAATCCACTCACATGTCGTCGCACTCTACACCTCTGAGCATCCGTAAAAATGACTCACTCTGACAACTGTCATGAGAAGTGAAAGCTGTTCTTTCGTTTCAATTTAAAGCTGGGGTACCTGACTTTTTGTTTAATAAATAATAATGTGCTTCACCTCTACAGAAGCAGTCGTAGGGTTAGATAATATTGTGCTGTCATTATCTAATTAGAAAACATGAAAAATCTGATCTTAAGATGTGTTAGGAGCCACAAATACTGTACATGCATGAGAAAAACTAGTGATAGAAACAAGCTGTTTTGGGGCGAGGAACCCCAGCTTTGATTTGAACTCCCTCTACCACAAGTTTTGGGTCTGATTTTTCACTTTTTCAATCTGTCTCATTGTCAAAATTAAATCAATTATTTTGTCTTTGTATTTATTTCTAGTTCTTTCACCTGAAAACATTGATTTTGGAACTTGCTTCTGGCGACCTCAGTCTTGGCAAAATTAACAGTGACTTGGTCTTGGATTTGACTTGGACTTGAGACTTGCTGAACATGTAACTGTCATCTTCTTTTCTAAACTGTTCTTCAAAGCCAAGACTAAAGAGCTGAAATAATGATTGTTTCAATTTTGGTCCAAGTGTTTTTCCTTATTGGTTAAATTGTTGTCATTTACCTTCACTTTTATACTGCGAGAATATATGATCTTAAAGTTTAGTACATTTTGACCTACTTAAAGCTGGATTACCTAACTTTCAAACTTGCAACAAAAAATCTTCTCACTTTTCAGATTCATGCTGCTAAAATCTGGAATAATCTCCTTGAAGATGTGAGACAGGCCTCCTCTCTGACAATGTTTTAAACCAGGTTAAAAACGGTTCTGTTTAGCTGTGCATACAACTGAGGGATTTTATATTTTTATCTTTCTTTTTAATGTTCTGTGATTATTTATGATTTTAATGCTTTCTTATTTTGTTCAGCACTTTGAGTTGCCTTGTGTATGAATTGTGCTATATAAATAAACTTGCCTTGCCTTGCCTTGCCTTACTCGCTCCTTGCTCTCAAAGCAGTTTGGTCCTCACTGTAGTATTCACATGCACACTAACAGTGCTACAACATATGTGTGTCCTATTCAAAACATCATCCCTCAACCAATCATTTCTCAGCCTTAAAGCTGCACTAACTGACTTTATTTTTGTATTCATTACGAAAATGCTATCCATGTCCATGTAGTGCATTGGGATATACGTCCTTTTGACGAAAAAGTAGCGCAGATTTGTGCTGGCGTGACATTATATTTTAGATCGAGTTTTGATGAAACAAGGAAGAGAATGTGTTTCGGGTCGCAGATTGTGACCAATCACCGCGGACCACTGGCCCCCACTTTTGTGAGAAATCTACAGGTCCCTGTTAGAATAGACAGCTGAGTTAGCACAACAAGCGGCGGAGCTAACCTGAAACTTCCTCGTCTGCGTCACCGGTTACTGCTTACACAGCGAGACAGCCATCCAAAAGAAAGTCCCGTTCCTCCGCGCTTCCCGGTTCTATCGTTCTATGGTCACGCCATCCACGTGCAAATCCATGTCCATGTATTATCCATATTAGGAGACGCTAGCTTCGTCCCAACAGTGAGTGTGTGTGGGGGGCGATAGCTTCGTGGGTGCGGGGAGGGGAGCAGAAAGAGAGAGGCCAGCGAGTCTGCTGCTTCAAAATCCCAAAGTCAGTTAGTGCAGCTTTAAGTAAGTCCAACAGTGACTCTCAGGGCTCTTTCTACGGATTCAAAAAAATAACATTCTCGAAAGGGATGGTATATTCTGGAGTGGGATGGCCTTCTTTGTCCACCAGGAGGTTTAGACACTGTTGCACTTTTGTTTATAAGGCAATGCTTGGTCCAATTCCCCCTTATATCTACCATTTAATCACACAGAGAGTTGATGCTAGTTCTTACAGTTTGTGGTCACATGATCTGCTGTTGCTCTCTGTTCCCTTCACCCGCACAGAACTGGGAAAAAAGCGTTTGCATACTCTGCTCCTGTTACTTGGAATGTGTTGTAAAAAGACTGGAAATGGTCTGAACTAATCTAAAATCTCTCAATCTGCTTTTAATCCAGATTGAGAGAACTTTAGACGTCCTCATTGACATGTAATTGTTTATATCATCTTTAATTAACTGTGTGTAACTTTTGCTGAATATTGTCCAGGACTCCCTCGAAAAAGACGTTCTCAGTCTCAATGGGACTTTTCTTGTTAAATAAAGAAAAAAGTTGCACACAAAAGACACAAATATATAATAATACAATAAAAAGACAGCATATTGTGGGATGATGTGTTCAGGATATTTTACTTTTACAAGACTCTTTCTGTTGGTAAAAAAACATGTAATATTTATGAATATAAAAAGTTTCCCTGTTTTTGAAAGTCCAGGTATAATTGTTAGTCCCTTCTATACTTTGTACGCATTAGCCACTTTTTAGTCCATAACAAGTCCTCATCCAGCCTGGCACAGCTCGCCGTGGCGCTCTTTTGTCCATCACAACAGCCTCTTCACACGCTCCTGTCGATTATTGATGTTAATTGGCTTGATGATTGCGCTAATTTCTTTATAGCTGTGTTGGCAGGTATGCAAGCTAAAGATCGGCCCCAGAACCAGGAGAGGGGAGGGGCTTGGTTTATTTGAAGTGACAACCAATGAGAGGAGCCAATCTACATCATGAAAATCTAATCATGTGATGAATGGGGTAATGTATGGACTGTGGCACCTTCATATTGAACTCCCACCTGTGCAAATAGGAGCTGGAATAATTGTTTATGTTGGGGGCAGCTGCCTTGGCCTCGTAGTGGGGAGCGGAGTGGTCCAAGGCTCGGCTGGTGTCCGTAAACCCCTCGGTTAACCCCAAGAATTCTTTGATAAACAAACAGCGCATTTTAAATAGGTCCGAGAGGAGCACAAGTGATGTTTTCATGGAGGAGGAATTAAAGGTTATTACTTCAACGACAACGAAGACTGCTATAACTTTATCTGTTTGAACTTCCTTTTTTTTCCCACAATTCCTTGTTTTAATTTGATTTAGAAAAATCTAACTGCATTCTGTACTCACAGAAGAGTACAGAATGCAAGCACTGGTTTGACCCGCTCATGCTCAAGCGTGCTGATTGGATGAATTAAAATCCATATTTTGTTAGTTTACAATAGTACATGTATTTAAAAGTAGAGAAATGTATCTTTAATATTATTTCATTTGAATGAGAATTCATACATTTTGCCATAATGACCATGATAATCGATTGAATATAGTCCCTCCTCTTGGCATTAACCATCACCTGTTATTATTATCCGGAGGAGAACAGTTTGACCAATGAGGAGGATTTGAATTCTCCTTGTCCAATCAAGATGCTCTATGTTTGCGCAGGGGCGGGTCCAACTTGAAAAACTCTCTCGCAATTTACATCTTGCTCAGGGACAACTGCTGAAAACTGGCTTTGTAGCAAAATCTGGCACTTTTACAGAAATGTTCATTATTGTGCATTGTCGGTGTTCAAAGGAAAACATACATTTAGAAAAACAATAAAATGATAAAACAAATAATAAAAAACTAAACTTAAAAATTAATTTAATTTGCTAAATTAATTTAGCAAACACCAAGTTTCCATCTAAAGTCATTGGTCACTCTTTCTGATTTTGCACATTTAACTGGTGGTGATTATAGCAAGGAGAGCTAATTTATCTGTGATTTCTGGCCCAATCCATGTGAGACAAAAAACTGTCACAAAGTTCTCCACCTTTTGTCCGAACATCATTTCAACTATGGTCTAATTATTTTCTTATATAAATGTCTAGAAGTGGTGACATTATTCAAAAACATGTGCATGATTTTGGGCAGTAGAACGGACTTTCAGACACGAGAATAACATGATCGCTGTCAAATTATGACCTGGGGACACTTTTGGACATTGTTCTTTGAACATTTCTTTCAAAAATAGCTTCTTTGTTGTATTGGCACCTGCAAAAATAGAATTCTACAACATGAACGCAACCATTCAAACTCATGGACATCACCTTTAATATGTAATTGTTGCTTAGAAATCCTTGGCTCTGCTGTTTTAACAACTCCCATCTTCTAACAAGACATACTCCTGAATCAGCTCAAAGCCTCTTATTTTTGTAAAAAAGTAGAAAAATGGATCACTTTATGAAATATAACGTTGCTCCTGGACTTAAAAAGTCTCACACATAACGTGATTACAGTTTGTTCGCCTTCAGCTGCTTAACATTACTGTACTTTTGGTGTTTGGATCCTAATGGCTTCCAGACCAAACTTCACGTTGGCCTGTTATCGAGCGCTCTCCTGTGTCGCTTTGGATCCGTCTCAACCAAACCGTTACAAGAACACAGAAGTGGTGAGAGGAAAATGTGTTTTAGACCAGCGTTTCTCAAACTGTGGGGAAGGTGACGAAGACGACATCACATGGACGTTGTTGTGATTGGTTGTTGGTTTATCCATAGATCTTTTGCAGTTTCAGGTTTGTTTTGGTAACTTGTTTCATCCTGAGATCTATAGAAAGTCCTATTTTAAAGCTGGGGGACTTAATTGTTCCATAAAAATTCCAAGTTGTTTGTCCAACTGTCTGGAAAAACTGATTCAAAGATGTGACAAAGATGTTTGGTTCTATCTCTTGTTTTTTGGCCTCTGTCACATCATTTGATCAGCTTTTTCAGACTGAAAAGCAAAAAAAGAAAGAACCACCCTCTCAGCCAATCAGCTCTCAGCCCAAAGCGCCAAATAGTGCCTCACTTGGCTCTATGCTAACATGGTTTCAAAAAAGACCCCAGCTTTAAGATGACTTTTTTAGCACAGTCTTTGTCCTTGTTCTACAGTCTGAGTCGAGAATCTACAGCCTGTCCACCCGGGGAAAGTGGATCCTTCTCTAAATGTGGGCCTCAACCAGGTTTCTCACTTCTTTCTTACTGTTTTGTTGTTGTTGAGTAGTTCCTTGCTGATGAAGGAAGGTCTAAGGACAGTGACAATCTCGGACATTTGGGGACATTTAAACACATTTATTAACATTTCTATTAACATTTTCTCCCTATGCACCAATGGCTCTTACATGTTTGTTATTATTGCATTTCTTGTGTTCAAACTGTTCTCTGATCTGTTGTTGGTGAATCGACAAGTCTGTTGCGGCGCAGTGGCTGAGTAGGAAGGGCGCTCCCCAGCAAGAAGGTCCTAGTGTTTCGTGGCAAAAAAGCCTCAAAAAAAGACTTTAATAAAATACTAATCGAAACAAAATCGAGAGAGAATGACACCAAAGTTACAAAAACAGGGCTCGAGGACAAAAACTAAAACTCAGGTGGGGATGACAAGGATGAAACAAGGAGTGAATGACTACAACGGGTTTAAATCCACTAACGAATAACAGGAGCAGGAAGTACAATTAAGGGAGACACAGTGGTTAACAAATTACAAACACCTAAACCATGACGCCTGGGTTCAAATCCCGGTCGGAATAGAGCTGAGTGGAGTTTGCATGTTCTCCTTGTTTCCTCCCGGTGCTCCAGCTTCCCCTACCACTAAAAACATGTGTAATAGCTCTGGCATGTGCCTCCTGTATGGCGACCCCACTCCCATCTCTGTGCGGAGTGAGAAACAAGTGCCCACAACAATTCTAAAGCACTTTGTGACTCTGGTCTGTGAAAGGCACTATATAAACAAAGATTTACTTACTTTCTTACTCTGAGACTATACTGAAATTTAGGTCTATACAAAATTAAATTGAATTGTGCTATGGGTTATATAAAGTCATGTATAAATATATTCTATGCCCTGTTTCGTCACAGCTTTTTACATGTATATTTGAATATTGGGGACATTATCTTCTTTCCTTAATAGTGCCGCGTACACAGCACACCCACAACAGCCTGCCACATCAAAATGACAAATCTGAAAACCTTGGTTCAGATGTAAGGTATCGAGCACAACATATGGCGACGCGCGTCTTCAAAAAACCTGGCAACAAGCGGCGGATTAACAATGAAGATTTGCCTCTAAATGGAACTCAAAGAAGTCGCCATTAAACAGTGTAACCTTCACTTTCATGTGCCCAGGGGAGCGCATACGAGACAAGAGACGGGGACTTTTTTGATGCTCGGACGCCGTGGGGATGGGGGCTTACGGTTCCACTCATCCACACGTTCACATATGGTCCACGGAGCCGAGGATAAGACGCAAGGAGAGAGGAGGCCCATATGTGTTGCCGGCTCCTCTTCATTAGCTCGCGGTTACAGAGAGGTACCTGCAGCAGAAGCAGCTCAGTAAATATGTCAAAATGGAGGTAGAATATTTTTAATGGTTTTGATGTCATATTTATATTCACTTTCAGCTGGTGTTTGGAGTTTGAGCGAGTAAGCAGGTTTCTCTTCCAAATGTATTTTAACAGAGACTTATTTTAAAGCTGGGGTATGTAACTTTCAAGCCACACAACAAAAAAATCAAATTGGTTCCTTGCTCTGAATTGATTTTGTTCTATCTTTTATTTTCACACAAAGAGAGGACCACCCTCACAGGATCTTTCTGACATGTATGCAAAGGATATAACTTTTTTCTTTTGAGATAAAGACAGTCTGTTGTGGTAGTTTACATTTAGCTCTTTATCATTTATATATATATTTAAAAAAAAGTGAGGTACCCGAGCTTTAACAGTATTCAATGTTTTAAATCTATTCATGACAAATAAGGATGTTATTTGTTCTTAGGGCCATTTATAGCTGTTATCATTTTATATCGATAAGAATGAAAATAGTAGTAATAATTGTATAATATAGTTGTAAGGAAATGAATAAAGCCACTATATTTGTCGGCTGAGATTTCTTTTTAGAAACAATTTGTTTTGTGCGGAACTTGATGATCAAAAAGGTAAAATTTACATAGATTATACTCGGGATTCCTGATTTTTAAACTGTGAAAAGAGAAAATTCATTTATAAATGTGCGTAACGTGTTCCTGCCCATATCGTTCACAAAATTATCATTTTTTCATTAGTATTCATACAATGTTTGGCCACTTGCACTCTCGTAGTCTCAGTGTTTATGATACACTTTCAGGAGGAATGAACATAATAATAATAATAATAATAAAATGTTAGGTCCTGCTTATACAAAATAACTGAGCCTTCTATAATAATGTTCTGTCTTGCACTTTATAGATTTTATGGCCTTTTTCCCCTCATGCTCAGGAAAACACATTCTTCATTCATTCATTATTCATTTGCTGCCAATAACATTGTACACCATAATAGTTTTATGTCACAAATAAAATCAATATACAGTAATTGCTTATTGATTGGTGAGGGGTTATCTCTTAGAGTTTGCAGATACAATTTAAACCTGGAAAGACTCAAGACAAAAATGGTAGGAAAAGGATATTAGTTGGTATGTTTGTATGGACGTATTGTAGCTGCATGTTTAACCATTTAGACCCAGCAGACGCATGATGTGGTGAAACTAAATGTATTTCAACATGAACATGTGATTAGATTAGATTTTTTTTGTTTAGATTGTAAGCATATGAAACCCTGGTGGTGGTACAAGCTGAGACGACAACATGATGATTCCCCACTGAAGAGCCGGTGATGGGGAGGAGGTGGGTTGCTGCACAAACAACTGCTTGATGCAACGATTGAAAGGCAGAGTTAAACGCAGCCGTGAAGTGATGCTGATGAAGTGTGTGACTGTGCAGCAGGTGATGAGCGCAGGTGTGTAGCAGAGGGAAGACTATGAGTATCCACTTTAGCTAAACCTCAAAACTCGGCACTTTCAATTCAATTACAACACAATACTGTATATTCCTAAATAATCCAGTATGATTCAGTCAAAAAATTACAACTCTATTATGTGGCTATACCTGCATGCTAAAGCCAGACCTCAGACCTCTGAAGCTGAGCAGGGCAGGACCTGGTTAATGCTGTGATGGGAGACCTCTGGGAACACCAGGTGCCACAGTAGGCTGCAAAGTGCGTCCTACTACAATAGTTTATCCCCACTGTGTTTGGAGTGAAATATGAATGATAATATGAAGCATCTTTGAGTGTCCTGAAAAGCTCATATACAGTAAAACCCATGCATTATGATTTTTTATTTATGTATTGATATTTTCCTCCTCATTAAAAGAGTATGCAATGAGTGGGTCTCATGCCTATAACAATATATAAATACAAAAAACAATCAAAATATATAGCAAGGATAGGCAAGGCAAGTTTATTTGTACAGTTCATACACAAGGCAATTCAAAACAAGATAGAAACAATCATACAAAACATTAAATGAAAAGGCATCATGAATTATCTGTGTAAATGTAAATTGTCCCCGTAGGGAAAATTGTCCTCTGTTTTTGACCCATCCTGAAGGCTTCCGTCAGGAGCAGTGGTCGCCGTAGGACAGCGTGGCAGGACCATACCGGAGCTGGAGGATTTTTACCTGTTTGTATTAAAACAGTATTAAAAAGACCAAAGAAACAATCCTACAGTTGTATGCACTGCTTAACAGAATAGATCTTAACCTGGATTTGAAAATTTCATACAAATACATCAATCATTCAAATAAAATATGACATAAAAATGTTGCAAAAAAAAAAAAAAAAAGCTAAACAAAAATACAGATGATAAGAATGATAAAATAAAATAAAATACAAATCAACTTTTAGCAGACTGCTTGTTTGCTCCTGAATCATATTTGCTCCGAAATCAAACTGCCAGAGGTCATGTAGCTCGCGAAAATTCAATTTAGAAGACGTCAGCCCAAGCTACCCCCTCCGGGCCGACTCACATCCTCAGCCTATGGCGCAGCAAACGCCCCCTTCCAATCACACCGTGCCGGACAGACCAGCCGCTTAAAAGCGGAGCAACTCCCATTCTACGGCCTCCCGAAGCCTCGCATGCTCCTGCAGCCTCGCAAAGAATCGTTCTGGAGGAATCGCTTTGTCTACTCACGCTTACTCGTGCGTGTCCCTGCTGTCCTCTGTCTTGCTGCGTGTGGTCTGCTCCTCCTGTGGCTGCACCTGCTGCGGGTCTCGTGCTGTGGTCCGTGGGTCTTTGCCGCTCTCCTCTTTGCGGGCTCTTTCCGCGGGTTTGCCGCTGCTCGTCTCGTCGCAGCCTGCTGCTGCATACGGCCGGTCTAGCCCGTTGCGGTGGGAGCCGTGCGCATCCCTGTCTCCTTGTGCCGGTACGGCGTGGTCCCGTCGTGTTGTCCCTTGTCTTCTGGCGCTGTGGGTAAAGTATGAGATCCGCGGACGGTTTTTTCCCCTCGCTTTGTACTGCAGGCTCAGTTGGCCCAGTGCTGGTGGGCAGGCTTCAGTTTAAAGCCCTCGCATTAGTCTGCAGGCCCTCTTTAACCAAGCTCCGCTAAATCTTCACTCTGACTGCAAGCTCCGTTTAATCCCTCACATTGGAATGCAAGACCTCAGTTTTAATCGCTCTCATTGGACCGCATGCTCTCAGTTTTAATCCCTCACTTTGGCCTGCGGGCTCTGTTTAAATCCCTCTCTGGACTGCAAGCGCTGTTTAAATCCCTCATATTGGACCGCATGCTCTGTTTTAATCCCTCACTTTGGCCTGCAGGCTCTGTTTAAATCCCTCTCTTTGGACTGCAAGCGCTGTTTAAATTATATCTGGAACTACTTATACCTGGAACTGTTGTACCGTATCTGGAACTGCCTATATATGGAACTGCCTATATATGGAACCGCTATATTGGAACTGCTCATATGGTACGGTTATACATGGAACTGCATACATGGTACTGCCTATATCTGGAACGCTATATTTAAAAAATAAATAAATGATAAATAAATACACATAAATAATTATAAATAAATAAAAAAAAAAAAAAAAAAAAATTATTATAAATAACTATAAATAATTATAAATAACTATAAATAAATATAAATAAACATAAATAAATATAAATAAATATAAATAAATAAATAATTAAATAAAACTGCAGGCCTGGTGGATCCCTCTCACTGGACTGTAAACTCTCAGTTTAAACTCCTCACTTGGACTGCGGGCTCAGTTAATCCCTCACTTGGACCGTAAAAACTGTTAAATCCCTCACACCGGACTGCAGCTCTCGGCTTAATCCCTCATTGGACTACAAGCTCTCTGTTATAAATCCCTCTTTAGGACTGCGGGCAACGTTGAATCCCTCTCTCTGGACTACAAGCTCTCAGTTTAATCCTTCACCTTGGACTACAGGTCATTTAACTCCCTCACACCGGACTGCAGGCTCTCAGTTAAACGCCTCACTTGGACTACGGGCCCGGTTTTAATACCTCACTCTGGACTGCAAACTCTATTAAATTCCTCACATTGGACTGCAAGCTCTGTTTAGGTCCCTCGGCGTCTCGTGTCCCGCAACCTCTTCCCGGCTCTCCGTGAGCCCCAAGTCGGCACGCGGCTCGGGCGCGGGAGGTGTCCGTGTGCTACGTCATTGGCCCCTTCTCTCCGTCTCGCTCTAACCCGACGGGCATCGCCACCCGCAAGCACTCCAGGAAGAAGCGTCTCATATTCGTCCTCTCCTGTCCCCGCTCCGGGCCCGCCCGAGCATCAACAGCCCCTTCCCTCCAGCGCCCCTCTCTTGCGGAGGCGCCGTGCTGGATCCTGCTAAATTATGTACGGCTCCCCTCCGTCCTGCATCTCCTCGACGACTTTCTCGTGGTAGACCCACCCTCGGACGGCTCCGGGAGCTCTCTCCGCAACCTCAAGCTCGCTTTCTACGCCCTGGGAGTCCCCCTCTCCGAGGAGAAGACCACAGGCCCGCCACAGCTCTAGAGTTTCTCGGCATCCGCCTCGACACGCGCGCCACGGAGGCCTCCCTCCCGCTGGGCAAACTCGAGCGCATCCGCGCTATCTCCCGGTCTGCCCCGTCATCCCTGTCACTTTCGAAGCGTCAGTTGCTCTCCCTTCTCGGGCGTCTTGATTACGCCATCCGCATAATTCCTCAAGGTCGCTCCTTCATCTCCAGACTCCTCTCCCTCGCCGGCTCCGTCTCCTCCCTCAACGACGCGGTCTGCCTGGCCGCGGGGCGCCGCTCCGACCTGGCGTTCTGGTCCCGCCTGCTGAGCCGTTGGGATGGCGTCTCCTTTTTTCTACAGCAACGTCGTCCTATCCTCGGACGCCCTGCGGTTCTTCACGGACGCAGCCCCGTCCGTGGGTTTTGGGGGATTCTTT